GCTCCTCCGGCGAGAGGCAGTTGCCCCTCGACGCCTCAACACTCAACATGGTTTGTCAACGAGAGCTGTAGTTTTTACCACCTCTCTCTATCATCGATATATTTACATCTCTTTTGAGCTTTTCTCTTTATTCTTCGTGTGTGGAAAATAATAGTATTTTGGATTTTGCCATATGGTACAATCTACATTCTTGAATTAACAAGACTTGCCGTTTAATCAAGATATATATCATGGTTTCCACTCAGGTCCGCGCACTCTTCGCCGTCATGGTCGTGGCCCTCGTGGTCGCCTTCGCCGCCGCCGGTCACTTCGGCGGAGGTGGATTTGGTGGAGGCTTTGGTGGTGGATTTGGCGGAGGAAAATTCGGTGGATTCAGCGGCGGAGGATTCAGAGGTGGATTTGGAGGTAATGTTTCTTATCGTTTCACCGGAAAATAACAGCTGAGTAGGTTGTGCTCGGCCAAAATGGATTCTATCAAGTGGTCACAAGAGAAGCTTCCCTGCAACACAAATCTATGAAGAGCATCGGAAGCCAAAGCATTCTAACGAACTCCGGCATTTCCACAGGTGGACACAGAGGCTTCGGTGGAGGTTTCGGAGGATTCGGAGGCGGACACGGAGGGTTCGGAGGAGGACGTGGATTTGGAGGTAAAAAACCGTACTCTCTATTGTCTTGTTTTAAGCTGATAGTAATCCCTGTTGTAACTGTTTTTTCAACTTACTAACGAGTCTCTTATTATTTTTAGGATATGGACGGTAGACCACGACTTCGCACCACCACCTTGACCACAGAAAATGGTATTTTGTATTTCGATAATAAAGTTTTCATAAAAAATAGATGTGTTTACTTTTTCTTATGAAAAACAAAAATGAAGACAAAGGATTAAGATATGCCGCATTGGCTCTCTCTCTCTCAAGATGTAACATATATTTATTCTCAAAGGAAATCAAATAAATGCAACTTAGAAAATACCGCAGTTACTTTTCGGGAAACAAGCAGAAATATCCTTAAGTGTTAAAAGTTAAAGAAATTTCCTCGCAGGAAAATTCAAGCACAGAATGACAACCAGTGCAGTCCAAAAGGAATTAGCTGGTGTTATTTTAGATACATTTTTTGTTCCTTTCAGTGTCTGTGCATTCATTTATTTGTATATATGCATGCATGTGTATGTGTGTGTGGATAAATATATAGATAAATATATATCAAACACATACACACTCACATATATACATGTATGTATATATACATATATGTACATATACATATATGTATATATATATAATATATATATATAATATATTATATGCATGTGTCTACATATTCACTGGCACACAAACACGCACACACACATAATATGTATGTATGCCTATCTATTTATCTATATATTATTTTTTTTTTTATGGTGTTCATACATATAGGCATATTTGTACATATATATTTATGTTTATATGCATATATATTTCCATATACACACAGGTTATAAAGATAATATATACTGTGTGTATACATATATGTATATATGGAGGTTCGATTATGCATATATGTTATTATATATATATATATATATATATATATATATATATATATATATATATATATATATATATATATATATATATATATATATATATATATATATATGGTGATATTTATATTATATATATGTGTACATATACTTACATTGTAGATATATTATACGTTACTGTTTACATACACTCATGTGTGTGTGCATGTATTTATATATATATACACATATATGTGTGTATATACATATATATGTGTATACATATACATACATAATATTATATATGTATATATATGAATGTATGTAAATATCCAGATAATATATGTATATACATGCGTATATGCGAAAGTGGCAGAGACGCCGAGATCCAGAGCGACGGGCGTGCTCGCCATCTGTCCAAGCAGACGATCGGAACCTTTGGACGCGTCCGAGACCCCGTCGCCAGCGCCCAGCAGCGCGATTTTCACTCATGGGGCCGACTCACTGACTTTTCTATTGTTTACATATATATGTGTGTGTTCGCTTTGTTTCGCACTAATAGACTTATTTATCACTATGTTCCTTCTATACCCACAAGATATATAGAATTGCTGAATGACCGTATAATGTACAGACCTTATATATCTTCCTTGTATTATTGTCATATTATGTGTATTTAGAGCACCCAGCGTTAGCTAGCTACGGATATGTATTTAAAATAATCGAACATCCAAAAATGAAAGACTACTACTGTTTCTTTTTATGCCAAACTTAATACATATGTCAATCAACAATTATGCCTTTGATTACCTTAAACCAGCTTTTTCGTCAAAATGGTTGCATATGATATTATCACTAAAAATCACACACACGCACATATATATGTATATATATATACATATAATGTACATATCCATATATATATATAAATATATGTATTATATATATATGTATGTGTGCATATATATATAAATATATACAGGGAATTAGATAAAAGCAATATGTAGAATAAATAAATCTAAGTCCGCCTTTATGATACAGATATACGCACGTGTGTGACTCATGATCTTTCCGCCCAAAAATCCCTTCATTATTTCCCCCGTTAGGATAAGGGACTCGTGGAGTGACTCGGCGGAACCCAAGGTCGCCGCCTTCTCGGTTTTCCTGGGCTGAGGGAGTATAAAGCCTCCGCTCCTCCGGCGAGAGGCAGTCGCCCCTCGACGCCTCAACACTCAACATGGTTTGTCAACGAGAGCTGTAGTTTTTACCACCTCTCTCTATCATCGATATATTTCATCTCTTTTCAACTTTTTCTCTTTATTCTTCGTGTGTGGAAATAATAGTATTTTGGATTTTGCCATATGGCAAAAATATATATAGTAAAATTCTACATTCTTGAATTGACAAGACTTGCCGTTTAATCAAGATATATATCATGGTTTCCACTCAGGTCCGCGCACTCTTCGCCGTCATGGTCGTGGCCCTCGTGGTCGCCTTCGCCGCCGCCGGTCACTTCGGCGGAGGTGGATTTGGTGGAGGCTTTGGTGGTGGATTTGGCGGAGGAAAATTCGGTGGATTCAGCGGCGGAGGATTCAGAGGTGGATTTGGAGGTAATGTTTCTTATCGTTTCACCGGAAAATAACAGCTGAGAGGTTGTGCTCGGCCAAAATGGATTCTGTCAAGTGGTCACAAGAGAAGCTTCCCTGCAACACAAATCTATGAAGAGCATCGGAAGCCAAAGCATTCTAACGAACTCCGGCATTTCCACAGGTGGACACAGAGGCTTCGGTGGAGGTTTCGGAGGATTCGGAGGCGGACACGGAGGGTTCGGAGGAGGACGTGGATTTGGAGGTAAAAAACCGTACTCTCTCTATTGTCTTGTTTTAAGCTGATAGTAATCCCTGTTGTAACTGTATTTTTCAACTTACTAACGAGTCTTTATTATTTTCAGGATATGGACGGTAGACCACGACTTCGCACCACCACCTTGACCACAGAAAATGGTATTTTGTATTTCGATAATAAATTTTCATAAAAAAATAGATGTGTTTACTTTTTATCTTATGAAAAAACACAAATGAAGACAAAGGATTAAGATATGCCGCATTGGCTCTCTCTCTCAAAGATGCATTATATTTATTCCAAAGGAAATCAAATAAAATGCAACTTAGAAAATACCGCAGTTACTTTTCGGGAAACAAGCAGAAATATCCTTAAGTGTTAAAAGTTAAAGAAATTTCCTCGCAGGAAAATTCAAGCACAGAATGACAACCAGTGCAGTCCAAAAGGAATTAGCTGGTGTTATTTTAGATACATTTTTTGTTCCTTTCAGTGTCTGTGCATTCATTTATTTGTATATATGCATGCATGTGTTGTGTGTGTGGATATATATATATATATATATATATATATATATATATATATATATATATATATATATATATATATATATATATATATTATTACATATATGTATACAACACACACACACACACACACACACACACACACACACACACACACATATATATATATATATATATATATATATATATATATATATATATATATATATATATATATATGGCATACATATTCACTGGCACACAAACACGCACACACACATAATATGTATGTATGCCTATCTATTTATCTATCTATATTTCTTTTTATTTTATGGTGTTCATACATATAGGCATATTTGTACATATATATTTATGTTTATATGCATATACATTTCCATATACACACAGGTTATAAAGATAATATATAATACATATATGTATATGTATATATCATTATGCATATATGTTATATATGTGTGTGTGTATATATATATATATATATATATATATATATATATATATATATATATATATATATATATATATATATATATATATATATACATATATTTACATTATATATTGTATGTGTACATATACTTACATTGTAGATATATTTATACGTTACTGCGCGAAAGTTTTAACATACACTCATGTGTGTGTGTGTATATACATGCATGATATATAATGTCTATACACATCTATATGTGTGTGTATATATACATATATATATATGTGTATACATATACATGTTACATATAAATATGTATGTATATATATATGAATGTATGTATATATATATATGTATATACATATGTATTCGAAAGTGGCAGAGACGCCGAGATCCAGAGCGACGGGCGTGCTCGCCATCTGTCCAAGCAGACGATCGGAACCTTTGGACGCGTCCGAGACCCCGTCGCCAGCGCCCAGCAGCGCGATTTTCACTCAACTTGAATTTTCTCATTTGTTTACATATATATACACAATATGTTGTGTGTTTTGTTCGCACTAATAGATTCACTTATCACTATGTTCCTTCTATACCCACACAAGATATATAGATTTGACTGAATGACTCCGTACAGTGTACAGACCTTATATATCTTTTCCTTATATTTATTGTCCATGTTGTATTTGGACCAGCCAGCGTTGGCTAGCTATAGACATGCAGATATAAAATCAAGTATCCAAAAATGAAAAGACTACTAATATTTTTTTATGCAAACTTAATACATAATTAATCAACAATTGCCTTTATGATTACTCTTAAATCCAGTTTTCTTCGTCAAAATGGACATGAGTGCCATATGTTATTATCACTAAAAGTCACACACACACACACACACATATATATGTTTGTGTGTGTGTGTGTATGCGTGTGTTTTTGTGTGGTGTAGGAGTGTATGTATATTCATATATATCTACATGTAATGTACATATGCATATATATATATATGTAATATGTATTTTATTCATATATGTATGTCTGTGTGCATATATACAAATATATATACAGGGAATTAGATAAAAGCAATATGTAGAATAAATAAATCTAAGTCCGCCTTTATGATACAGATATACGCACGTGTGACTCATGATCTTTCCGCCCAAAAATCCCTTCATTATTTCCCCCGTTAGGATAAGGGACTCGTGGAGTGACTCGGCGGAACCCAAGGTCGCCGCCTTCTCGGTTTTCCTGGGCTGAGGGAGTATAAAGCCTCCGCTCCTCCGGCGAGAGGCAGTTGCCCCTCGACGCCTCAACACTCAACATGGTTTGTCAACGAGAGCTGTAGTTTTTACCACCTCTCTCTATCATCGATATATTTACATCTCTTTTCAACTTTTTCTCTTTATTCTTCGTGTGTGGAAATAATAGTATTTTGGATTTTGACCCATAGTGAACATTTGGTAAAATATATATATATTAAAATTCTACATTCTTGAATTGACAAGACTTGCCGTTTAATCAAGATATATA